CAGTGCTCTATAGCATCGTTTTGAGGGAAGGAGTTGAAACAGTTTATGTCCAGGATGTGAGGGGTCTGTAGATATTTTCACAGGCCTCTTTTTGACTCAGGGTGCAGGATACAGGTCCTCCTCCATGGAAGGCAGGTTGGTAGCCATTGTTTTTTCTGCAGTCCTAATTACTCTCTGGAGTCCGTGTCTGTCCTGTTGGGTTGCAGAACCAAACTAGACAGTTATAGAGATGACAGACTCAATCATTCCTCTGTAGAACTTCTAGTTCTGTTTTCAGGTGCTTTGGAAAATAAGTTGATCCCTTTTTCTTTGTGGCAGCCCCCTCACATGTTGCAACACTGCTATCATGACAATTTCCAAAGATTCTTCCACATTCAGACATAAAACTAACTGGGATTTCACATTGCAGTAAAATCAGTCTTTAAACTTTGGTTTGCGCATACTGGCCCATTCCATCTTTCTGAGGTCTGGCGGAGGAAATTGAAAATTTGTGCTGTATCATAGCACTGTGTGAATCCAGGCATACTACAGCTAGTTAAGCTGTAGCTAGTGTGTTCTGCATTCCACTTTGAAAAATAACTGTTCCGTTGGGATAATACAAGTTGACTATAAATGTAACTTTTAAGAAAAGTTTATATGGAAATTCAAATCCAAAACTTTGTAGCACAGGGAGCTATCAAGAGGGGCTTACTTGAGTCAGAGTTTTTGCTTCTTGGATGTCAAAGTGGGAGGGTGAAACCAGCATCTAATGGTTGTAATAAATCTTTTCTTTTTTCCTCCTCCTTAAAGGTATGACTGGTACCAAACCGATTCTCATGTCATTGTAACCATCATGGTCAAAAATGTGAAGCAAGTTGATGTAAACATAACATTCTCGGAGAAAGAGGTAATATAGGCCCCCAATTTTGAGGTTCAGAAATGAACCAAAGTTGTTATTGCAAACTAGGATAGGAGGAAACGATGCTGTAGAAGTTGCTATGATACTCTGTGGCTCTCCGCCAGTATTTAATTGCAAAAAGCATAATTTTCATGAGTGATATTGTGTATTTCTACACATTGCTACATTATTTTGTAACTTGAAAGAATGAAAACATAACACTGGCAAAAGAAATTGTATTGTTTCTCAGTTTATTTAATTTGTAACTTTGGATCAGTTGCTACACTTTAATAATTGTGTGTAAACATTTCCTAACAATCTTGACCTAATAGCTTTTGGATCAGAAATGACTTTCTGGTGCCTAAGAATATAAATCTTCAATTGATTTCCTACCCGCTTTCTTTTGAAATTCTTATGCCTGAATACATTAATATTTTCCAGGGAAGGTTATTTAAATTCATTATTTCTGAACAGGTAAAATGAAGGTTAGGAAATCTGCTTTACTAATTGCTGGATTGTGATAAGTTGTCTGTCTCAACAGCTAAACGCATCATTGAAACTTCCCTCCGAGGAGAACTACAAGCTAAAACTTCCTCTTCTTCATTCCATAGTCCCAGAACAAAGTTTATTTAAAGTTCTTTCAACCAAGGTAATTTTTTTTTAAAGGAACAAATGATTTTTGCCACTTCCAGTTGACATTTTTATCCTGCCAGAGTGGATGGGGCACTTCCTTCTAATGTTTTAAAAATCCTTTTATTGGCCAGGTAAGGGTATATCCAACCAAAAACATCGTTTGTTATTTTCGAAGAAAATTTGGGGGCATTTTGGGGAATAAGGAACAACCTTTTGAGCTTTGCTTTTTAGCAGTCCATCCTTCCAAGTCTGAATAGCGTGGAAATAATTCCAATAATAGAAGTCCAGACCTTTTGTCTTGCTGACACAGAAGAGCTGAAGCTCACAGTAGCTGAAGTGGCATCTGCCCACCCCAGCAGGTCCTTGAGAAGGACTTGGTAACTTTGATATGGCCCAAGGGCTAATAAAATCAATCAATAAATGTAAATGACTTGATAGATGGAGGAAAAATGCCAGGTCCAGTCTGAACATCCAGCTGACGGTGCGACAAAACCTAATAAGTAGGATTTTTTGGAAGGCTGTCCTTTGAACAGCATTAAATGATTGTAAATTGAGGACTACCTACATAGAACCCTGTCCGAAGCAACAGGTAATCCTTGACTTACAATGGTTCGTTTACTGTCTGTTCCAAGTTACGACGTCACTGGGGAAAAAGTGACGTACGACCATTTTTCACACGAACGAACTTTGCAGCTTCCCCCATGGTGACGTAATTTACATTCACTTAACAACCAGCCAGAAAATCTGATTTCACTTAGCATTAACGTGGCCAGAAAATTAGTAAAAAAGGGGGCAAAAGCCACGTAACAAATTTCTTACTTAGCGACATCAATTTTGGGCTCAGTGGAGGTCATAAATCGAGGAGTACCTGCATAACTGGGTCGTATCCCTTTCTCTGCAATTCTTTGTGTTTAAAGAGCAGTGTGTTTTTTTAAAAAAAACCTTTTGTGCTGCAATTAACTTCAAACATGAGAAAATGACAAATTTTCATATTGTCAATTTTTTCTCTCCCAGCGACAGTTCTTAGGAAGATTGGGAGAAATATTTACAGAATAAAAAACTCTGTTCTTTCATTTGTCAAAATGAATCTGCTGCATTGTTGTTGTTTTTAAACAAACAATTTCCAAGGTGTAAAATCCGCAGACTTCAAGGTTTAGCAGGATTGTTTGGAGGGGAAAAATTGCGTCTGTCTTTGTGGAGTCAGTTTTTCTTTTTTCCTTTTCCTTTTTTTTTTCTTTTTAGACAAGTGAGAAAACGGACATATCATGATATCACAACTGGGATATCACAAGTGATACTGAGATTATATTAAATCTTCTTAATGAGCACAGATATTTTTATTTGCTTGTTTCTTGCGAGAGGATATAATTGGAGTTGAAAAATGCGAGTGTTTTGTCCACTGTCACAATAAACAATTTACTTGCTGTTTTTAATATTGCAAAGAGTGTAATGGATTAAGTATAGCTTCTGAGAACCTCAGTTTGCTTCCATGGGGAGGGGAACCTGGTGTAGAAAATGGGCTTCAATTCTCATTTTAATTGGAGCTCTCAAAGCTTGAGAAAGTGTCCAGATGCTCCTTTTTTCGGCGGTATCTGTGCCAAGACATATTTCCTCTTTCTGATCAGCAACTCAAAAAATAATCCAAGAATGAGCAAGCCAGATTCATTCAACAACCAGATTACTAACTTTATCAGCTGCAATGATTCATGTAACAACGGTAGTAAAGGTAGTAAAATCAGGCAAAACTCACTTAAACGTCTCACTTAATGACAGAAATTTGGGTCTCAATTATTTTCATAAGCTGAGGAATACCTCTATATATATCACTTGTCTCGCCATCCAGAGTTTCGGCCACATGGAAACCTGCAAGTTGCTTGTCAAGATCTAGATGGATTATTTGAGGGTTCTTTGTACATATTATCTCTTAAGTTCAAATTACAAGCATTTTCCTGTATTTTAAAAAAAATAAATCAGAATGCTTAAATGCTCAATGGGAGAAATCCTGCGTTTATCCTGAAAGTTGCCTGTACTTCTGGCGTGATGGTCTAATTCAGGCTATTTTCTGAAAGGCTGAATAGGACTCACAGTGCTACTCTCACTCTGCTCCTATTTTCTTTTTAAACTTAAAAGAGTAAATTGGTCAAACTACATTTTAAAAAAACAACACCCTAATGTTGTGGCTTTCCCTTCATATTTGTCACAAGCACTAATTTTCTCAAAAGGGTTAATCTATTAAATGCTTTTTTCTCCTTCTACAACAGATTGAGATAAAAATGAAGAAACCAGAAGCTGTACGATGGGACAAATTAGAAGGCCAAGAGAAGTCTGATCTAAAAAAAGACACACCAGGTTTGTGTTGGCATGTTGACTGACAAATAATCCTAGTTTGAAAAGTGGCATCAGGAGAGGTTGGGTAGATTTCCAGTCCGATCTGAGGGAACCATCCACATTTAAATTTCTAGCCTATGTTTTGCGTCGCTCATGATTCTTCATTAAAAGCAACCTTGGTGTTGATCAATTCTCAAAGTCACAATTGCCTCTCTCTTTAAGCAAAGCTAGTCATAAGTTAACAGATAATTAGAGTTGGAAGGGACCTTGTAGGTCAGCTAGTCCAACCCCCCGCCCAAGCAGGAGACCCTGCACCATTTCTGACAGATGGGAGTCCAATTCTTCTTGGAAGTCTCAAGTGATGATGCTCCCACAACTTCCATGGGTTGATTGTTCTCACTGTCAGAAAGTTTCTCCTTATTTCCAGGTTGAATCTCTCCTTGTTCAGTTTCCATCCATTATTCCTTGTCTGGCCTTTGGGTGCTTTAGAAAATAGCTTGACCCCCTCTTCTTTGGGGCAGCCCCTCAAATATTGGAAGATGCTTCACCAGACTAGCCAGGCCCAGTTCCTGCAACCGTTCTTCATATGTTTTAGTCTCCAGTCCCCTCATCATCCTGGTTGCTCTTCTCTGCACTTTTTCTAGAGTCTCAACATCTTTTTTATAGTGTGGTGACCAAAACTGTTCTCAGAGGCATCATTAAAAGTTGGATTATTGTGCTCCATATAATAATAATAATAATATGTGACAGAAAAAAACAATGGAGAACACTACGAAAAGAGCAAGGCTTTCTTGAATCCTGGTTTATCCAAGCAGCAGGGAAAGAAACTTCAGAAAGGAAGATCAGCTGTTGGAGTATTCCAAAGTATTCATTTTATGTTCAAATAGTGTTGTGGCCTGTCGGCCACCGGCCCCTCCAGCAGCCAAATCAGGAGGAGGAGGCATGGGAGTCAGGGTCAGCATGAGAGAGAGAGAGGGAGAGAGAGAGAGAGAGAGAGAGAGACTGAGCCGTCCGTTAGCCCTCAGATGGAGAGTCAACAGCCCTCAAGTTTGGAGGTGGCTGATGAGGAAGAGGAGGAACAGCTGGGCCCAGTGCCTGGATGCCCAGATGGCAGAGGAGAGGAGAGCAGTGGAAATCTATGAGCCGGTCCTTGGGACGGAAGAGCCATCGCTGCTAGCAAAGCCCCACCCTGGCTCTGGGGATAAAAGGCAGGGGGCAGAGATGAATAGATGTGACAGACAACTATTCATCTCCCTGCTGGACAGACTTTTAGCCTGCGTTGAGAGAGAAACTTTTTGCTGGGACTCCTAATAAAGGAATGTTTGAGTTAACTTCAGAGGGTTTGTCATGTTTAGGGAACTGGGTCAGAACAAATATTTAGGTTAGGCTTTCCCCAGACTCCTAGGACAATTCCAGGAGAATAAAATTAAGAAGTTCTATCAGAGATCTCCACCTTTGTCAACTTTTAAGTCTAGTGGACTTCAACTCCCAGAATTCCCCAGCCAGAATTCTGGGGGTTGAAGTCCACAAGTCTTAAATTTGCCAATTTTGGAGGCCCCTGTTCTATCACAAATGAGAACAGGTAATTTATAGCTTCAGAGCAAGATATACATAAAAGATAGAGTGATAGAAAAAAAGGCACGTGTTGGAGCTTAAATTTGCAAAATTTAAAAAAAACAACCTGATCCAATTTTTTTCCATTTAGCTGCTAAATTAATTGTTGCTGAAGAGAAATAATCTCAGTGGATTAATACCGGATACAATACTTTATCCATAGAGGTTGAGACCCTGGGGTTGATATTACCTGGTTTAATTTTGTTTTACAGCTTCAAACCCCACCCATGACTATCCTTCGTCTTCCCACTACACGAAGAACTGGGATAAATTAGTGGGGGAAATCAAGGAAGAAGAGAAGAATGAAAAATTGGAGGGCGACGCGGCTTTGAACAAACTTTTTCAGCAAATCTATTCCGATGGCACAGATGAAGTGAAACGTGCCATGAACAAATCCTTTGTAAGATATTTTTTTGTTTTCTTTTGGGCCTGTATATTTTGATTTGGGATCATCATATTGCAAACATAAATCGAATTTTAGCATTTGGCAAAGAAATAACCTATCGCAAGGGAGTCTTTCGCTTAGAAAAAGACAGACTTCATTTTATTTTTTAGTTTTTTTAAATATTTTGCTTATTTTATGAACTGACTATCATGGTGGGAATTATTGGAATATTGTCCTAAGTGCCTTCTTCATGTCTTCATAAATAGATTGCTGATGTTATAAAATCTGACTTTTCCATTCATTTTTTTTCTATTTTTTTTAAATTAATGATAAGAATATAATTGTTATACATATATAACTGTTACTTCAGCATTTATAATCCTCTTGTTTGATACATTGTTTATAAATTATTCTAATCATCATAGCTACTTATGTTCTGACCTTGCCTCCTTCTATGCAACCACTGATAGGATTTATTCCATGTTTCATAGTACTCCGATTCCCCCTTGTTTTTTAATTTTAACGTTAGCCTGTCATGCCCCTGTTGGAATCTGATTCCTAGGGGGAGGTCGAGCAGCTGACAGGGAGTGGGAGTGTGGCTTCGGTGGCTGTGGAGGAAACTGGGGAAGGGCACAGGCCAGCTGGGCGTTCAGAGGAAGACCCAGGGCCATCCCCTCTTCATCCTAGGGCACGCAGGGAGGAAGGGATAAGGGAGCAATATGGCTTACGAGAGAGGAAAGGGCCTTGATTCCCTTCATTAGCTGCAGCTGGAAAAACAGGATAAAAAGGGTGTTTGTGCACAGAACCTTGCTGGAAGCAAAGTGTGAATTATCTTTGTTTGTCAAGTCTTATCTGGGTTCTGGCATCCTCCCAACTGTGTGTGTTTATCTTTTGACATCTACAATCCCTTATTCTGCCCTGTTGTTAATTGCCACAGCGTGGTTTATGTTGGTTTTTATTTATAATCTATGTGTACTTTGGGGTCGAACTGAATTTCTTCCCTTTAAAAACTGTTCTTGGGAGAGTTTTCTCTCCAGCCGATGATAACTGGATGTTGGGGGCCAAGTTGGAGGCATTAAAGGGACTTTACCTACTTTTGTGACCTTGTTGCTTTTGTGCCACGCCCCTTTGGGTCATCACATAGTTGGAGGCAACCAGCCTGTCCGATTCTGCTCAGGCCATAATTTTCCTCATCTCTCTTTCTGGCGGTGTGCTTTCCTTCTTCCAGTATTGTGCGTATATTATTGTAGCTGCCGTCAACACATGTACTATTAGATAAATTAAATCCTTCCTATATCCTTCTGGTATTATTCGTAGAAGAAAAAAATTCCAGCTTAAATGGAATACATTCTTCCACCATTTGTTCTATCCATGTTTGAATCAGTCTCCAATACCTTTTTTTGCAGCATTGCAGGTCCACCACAGGTGAAAAAAAACGTGCCCGGCATATCTTTGCCCTTCCAACAATTTGGAGGTAGACTTTTGGAAAGCCTCGTTCACTGAAGGCTCATATATTATTTCATTCTTTTGCAGATGGAATCGGGCGGGACGGTGTTGAGCACAAATTGGTCTGACGTAGGTAAAAGAAAAGTAGAAGTCAATCCTCCAGAAGACATGGAATGGAAGAAGTACTGATCTTCTTTATCATGACTCGTGTAACAGTGTTCCAGAAGCCGTGAGGATGGAGCCCTGAATGCTGGTTTGAGAAGATGGTTCCCCTTTTTGTATCTTGACCTCCTGCAGCCAGACCTCTTCGTGAAGATATCTAAGAGCTGTAATCAGGAATGAAGAGCTCTTCCAGTGAAGGCATCTTTTAAGGATTCGAACCCAGTCCTTGGCTCGCTTGGTGATGCATTTGGAGAATTAAGAAGGCGTTTAATTGGACTATTTAGGGTTATTGCCTTATTAAATAACACTCGATCCCTTTAAAATAATTTATTTTGCTCTAGCGATATTGGGGTGAACGCACATTTTGGCTGTAGTCTTTAAGATTGTTTGGCTTAACGTTGCTTCCAAATAAAATTGTAAATAGATAGCTTTTACTTAAAGAAACCGGGCTCTTTTTGTTTGTCGAGCAGTTGCCAAGTGCGGGTTGTCGTTGGGAGGTTTAACAAGCTGTGTAGCCCATAAGGAATGCTTCTGCATGGTAAAATTAAAATTCATGCTACACTTTTCTATTAATAATAAAAACAGAGTGCCTTGTAATAATTCGATGCAGTAAAATCAGGGCAATAGACAAAGAAGTTGGTTAAAGTGTTCATATCACCCAAGCAGTGGTGGTATTCAGCTGGTTCACACCGGTTCAGGAGAACCGGTAACGATTTGGCCTGGGTTGCCGAACCAGTAGCGACTTCTGGCTGGCCATGCCCCCTGCCCGGTCGTCACTTGCTCACCCCTTCCGGCTGCTCGATGCTCGCCCCGTCCTATATATGTTGCCTTCACCATTTGGCCCACCTAATCGCCTTGCCGATGCCGGTCAGCTCAGCTCACCAAAGGTAATCATGCCACCTGCTCACCGTTCACTTTGGATTGGGAGCCAGGCCCCAGGGACGTGCTAGTCCTTGAGGGGGGTCATGTGACTGAGTGGGCGTGGGCGTAAGTGATGTCATGTTGGACACGCCCAGTCACATGACCCTCCCCCACCAAGCCACGCCCACAGAACCAGCAGGCAAAATAATTGAATACCATCACTGCGCCCAAGGTGTAGTACTACTCATTTACTGACAGTAATTAGCACTGGGCACTCTTGTCATTAAGCCATGCGGTTAAAAGCACAGTGGCTCGAGTGGTTAGAGCACTGGGCATGAGGTTAGCAAGCCCACATTCGAGACCCAGAGCTGCTGTGCGGGTGCGGTTGACCTCCCGTCCATGGCTCAAGGTCCTGCCGGGGACATAAAATGTCCTGGGCATCCCCAGGACAACGATGAAGTTCCCTAGCTGATCCTTTCAACCCGGAAGTGTCTCGGTGCTTCTGACACATGTAGTTACACGTTGAAAAACCACATTAAGTGAGGACTTTACCGCGACCTCCAGATTCCTGCCATTAACTTCGCTTGTGGGAAACTTAACGGGATGCCCCAAACCATGTCAGAAAGGCAGGATGCTGTGTGATTTTGTAATTGCCAGCAAGGTGCCAAATGCCCAGGGCGCAATCACAACAAATCAAGCAACATTTTCACGGACCACAAACTTGAGATCCAGTTGTAACAACCGCTTGTTCAGCGCTGAACAAGCAGTCGTTGAATGAGGACCATCTGTATGACCGCATTCCCACTCACTCTAGTAATACTACTACTACATTTGCAGATGATACAACAGTGGTGGGACTTATCTCCGGGGCGGATGAGACTGCCTACCGAGACGAAGTGGACCAACGGTTGCTTTCGTGATGTGGAGACAATAATTCGGTCCTCAACACCAACAAGACCAAGGAGCTTATAGTGGACTATAGAAGGAACCGATCAGACCTCCAGCCCTTGCTTATCAATGGAGACCGAGTGGAGCAAGTGGCCAGTGTTAAGTTTCTGGGTGTTACCATCATAAAAGAGGACCTGACCAGGGGGGCTCACATTGCAGCCCTGGTCAAAAGGGCCCAGCAGAGATTATACTACCTGAGGCTTCTCAGGAAACAACAACTGAATGAAAAACTGCTGGTGAACTTCTACAGCAGCACCATAGAGAGTATTTTAACTTACTGCACCTCTGTAGGGTTTGCCAATTGCACAGAGGCAGATAGGAAAGCACTCCAGAGGGTTAATGTCATTGCCCAGAAGATCATGGGTTGCCCTCTCCCCTCTTTGGAAGAGCTTTATAGCTCCCGCTGCCTTGAGAAAGTTCAAAACATCCTCAAAGATCCATCTCATCCTGGGCACCCTTTTTTTGCACTATTACCATCTGGCAGACGGTACAGGATATTAAAAACAAGGACAAATAGGTTGAAAAACAGCTATCCCAGGGCAGCAGCTCTGTTGAATTCCACTGTATAGCACACTGAAGATGGTATTTAATTTTCGTTGTACGATGTGCCATGACAATAAACTAAACTAAACTACTTCCGTGTTGCTTGAATTACGCCTCACCCGTAGAATTTAAGGGAATCTTGGTATTTGTTACCTCTCCTGACTTCCCTCAATGAAACGTTAAAACCATTCTAACCAGCCTGAAGAATAATAATCAGAATTTCCTGTGTAATTAGCAAATTACCTTTATTTGTAGAGAGAGAGAGTCCCAACCCCACTGAACCGTGAAATTCTTGCAGTGACACAGATTATCATTTTTGCAACACCTCACCGAATCCTCTTTTTTTAAAAAACAAAAACAAAACCTCCCTTGTCATTTAAGGCTCATTTCGCAGAGCTCAGGAGAAAAATTCGGAGGAGTCCCGAGCCTTCACCCAAGATGGAGTAATTCTCTCCACCCCAACGGCTGCTTGATCTATTTTTTTGTCGTTGGAAAACTTTGTAGATTTGTTCCGATGTGAAATGCCTATTAAAGAGATCCTTTTGCGCTTTTATTAATGGTACCACGTATGCCATTCAGATAACCAGGCAAAGATTTAATGGGGTTTTTGAGGCCTCTTTGAGGCAAAAGAGCGGCTGAATCTTTTTTTAAAGGATTTCTTTTTTAAAATTTCCCTCTGAATGGAAAAAGGCAGCGGAGAGGCCCAATTAAGAATTCAGTGAGATGCAGGTCTTCTATTTAAGTGTATTTATTTTGTTTTATAAAAGGGTAAAATACAAAAGAGAACAAAAAAACAAAAACCTACATCCAGCAGTAACAAAAAAAATAATAATGGTCCAAGTGCCAAATAAATTTAACATAGAACCTCCCAGTTATCTTTCTCTCTCACTCTCTTATCTATCTCTATCTATCTATTATCTATCTATCTATCTATCTATCTATCTATCTATCTCTATCTATCTATCTATCTATCTATCTATCTATCTATCTATCTATCTATCTATCTATCTATATCTAGCCATCCATCCATCCATCTTCAATCCAGTTGTCTTTTGGAAAAACATCTTTGGGACATCCTCTATGTAGAATTTTAGAATAAAATAGAATAGTAAAGAAAAGAAAATATACTCTAGACTAGAATAGAAAGCAAAATAGAATAGAAAATGATAGAGTAGAATAAAAAATAGAATAGAATAGAATATTGGAATGAAGAATAGAATAGAAAACAAAATAGAATAGAATAGAATAGAAATCAATAAAATAGAACATTAAATAGAGTAGAATAGAATAGAATCTTTATTGGCCAAGTGTGATTGGACACAAGGAATTTGTCTTTGATGTATAAGATCTCAGTGTACATTAACGCTACGTGATAAATCATGAACAGTCATAAAAATACATCATAAATCATAAGATACAACACAGTGATAGAATCAACTAAATCGTACAGTATAAATCAAAGATACAAGCAACAAAGTTGTAGTCATGAGTAGAAAAGGAGATAGATAATAGGAAAGATGAGAACAATAATAGTAATACAGTCTTAGTAAATAGTTGGACAGTGTTGAAGGAATCATATGCTTGGCAGGGTGATGGCGTTCAGGAAAAAACTGTCCTTGTGTCTGGTTGTTCTGGTGTGCAGTGCTCTATAGCGTTATTTTGAGGGAAGGAGTTGAAACAATTTATGACCGAGGTACGAGGGGTCTGTAGATATTTTCACTGCCCTCTTTTTGACTCGTGCAGTATGCAGGCACTCCATGGAAGGCAGGCTGGTAGCAATAGAATTGCAGAATTTTAATGTAGAAAATGTAGAATTTTACTGGGAGTAACTGTTAGCTAATAACTGTTTCTACAGCACACCTAAAGACTGCAAAGCCAGCTTGCAAAAATCACATACAGGTAGTCTCAACGACCACAATTGAGTCCCAAATTTATGTCGAGAAGCGAGACGGTTAAGTGGATTCCGCCCCATTTTACGACTTTTCTCGCCATAATTGTTAAGTGAATCACCGTGGTTGCCAAGCTACTAACATAGTTGTTACGTGAATCTGGTTCCCCCCTTGACTTTGATCGTCAGAAGGTAGTAACACTGCAACTGTCATAAGTAGATGCCAGTTGTCAAGCCTCTGAATTTTGATCACGTGACCACGAGGAGGCAGCAACGGTCATAAGTGTGAAAAATGATCATAAGTCGCTTTTTTTCAGTAACATTCTAACATCAAACAGTCACTAAATGAACTGTTTTAAATCAAGGATTACCTGTACTTGTTTTTAACATATATTTTTTTCAAAATTAAACACTAGAAATTTGTCTTGGACCGGTGGACCATGAAGATATAGAATTAGCCGGTGGACCATGAAGATATAGAATGAATGGCGCTAGAATTTCAAAACTTGCATTTTTTTTGTCTGTGCAAGGATTTAAGAGACAATGCATGAATTCATCCTAGGTAGAATGAAGCTTTTTCACTTGGTTTTTTTTTTTCTTTTTAAATCATTTAAATCAGGCTGGTTTTTCTTTCTTTCTTTCAAGTAGCAAAGCCAGTATTGTGAGGTTTGGTCCTGCTATAAGAAACAGGAAAACTTCATTCAAAATTCCCTTCTCCGGTGCCTTCTGCTTGCCCTTGTAATAAAATAACCGCTGTATTTTCTCCGTTGCAGTAGAGGGAGCTGAACACTAAATCAAAATATGCCAGTGAAAAACTCCCATTTTCTTTTGACAAAAGAAGAGAAATTAAATGTAGAAATAAAAGCAGAACTAAAGCCCACTCTGTGTTGGAGGCTATTTCACAACCATAAAAAAAAATCTTTGCTAAGATGCAACTCCGGCTATCAACCGTTATGCTAAATCCTCAATTTATTTTTTTTAATGTCATAGAAAACAGCAAAATCAAGATGTTGGTGGCAGCAACGGCTTCCCTAAAGAGAGATTTTAATGGCTTTTGTTGATCCCATAGCCCCATTTTTAATTTTCAGTGCTTTTCTTCCTTCCTTTCATTTCTGGCAGCAGTTCAGGAAGAAAAGGAGTAGAGAAATGGGTTCTTTCCAGTTTTTGTAATGATCCCGTCTTATATGAATAAGA